ATGGCTGTGTGTGGGAGGCTCTGTGGGTCTCTACAATGACAGAACCGAGGAGCCTGTCTGGGATTGGTGCTTCCCTCAGAATGCACGGTCTGGGTAAAAAAAACACAGACACAAAGCAGGCCCAGAGAAGGAGTCAGCGCTGAGCAGAGTGTGGGCTGAAGAATCCTGCCTCCTAAGGAGGTGACAGCCGACAGCCGCTGGCTCATCATGTGTGTCAAAGGCAGCGTTCGGCAGGTAAATAGCAGTTCAGCATTTCCTGCCCACTCACATTCCACGCTGGAAACACTGGGATTGCAGGAGCCTCTGCCACTACTGGGTCCATTCATAGCCAAGCGCTTTTAAAGAGGGAAACAAACCAACCGCTGATACGTCAAGCACTATTTCAGAACATTTCCAATAGTAACACAGGAAAACTGTAACTTTTCCCACTATGCCTTGGCATCTCGCTGCTTAAACCTGCCTTCTTTTGTCTTCTGTCAAAGGAGAGGAAAAGCCGATGGTCCAGTTGCTGCTGGTGGGTCAATGTGCAGGAACTAAATATTTATTAAAAGAAAAACCTCAGTGAGCAGGCCTCACTTAAACAGGACATGGTTGCCCTCAGCCTTGCATTGTTATTTACAATAGAATCCAAGTATTCTCATTTGGATGAAGTATGAAGCTATATAACAGCCCAAGAATAAATAGATTGTTTGAGGAAACATCAAACAGATTAACTCAGTGTACATCACATTTAAGATACTTTATATCAAATAAATAAGATAATACATACAATTAAAACTGTGAGATGAACTTCCAAGTGCTATAGAATTAAGGGAAGGGAGAAGGAATTGAAACAATACTGGAAGACTTTGTCAACAAAAGAGTTAGCAATAGAGAAAAGCAAATATAAGATTTTCCTATAGGTTTTTTTTAAATTTATGTTTATAATGCAAATATTCTGAGTAAAGGATTTCATAAGTGGTTCACCAACCTATGCCACTTAAAATGCTATCTTTCAACTAACTGATGTCTGACCCAGCAAATGATATTTTTATTATCCAAATGTTGGGATCAATGGGCTAAGATAGTGTTGCCAGCACCAGCTTCTAGTTTAGTTCATTAGTTCATTTAGTTCAAACAGCCAATAATCTCCTTTTTCTCTCCCAACTTCCCAGGAAGAAATACCTACATTTTTATGTAAGTCATTAATGTCTTAGAGATCTGAGTTCTCTGTAGGAGATGGAGGGAGGGAGGACAGGAGGAACGGTGCAGACTAGTGATAGAATAAATAAAGCAAGTTGTGGTTTTGGGGTTTTGGTCTACAACCAGCCAGACCAGACGGTGAGTGAAGAAGAAATCATTGGCAGGTTCTGCATTTTGGATGAAGCTGTCTGCAACGTAGGTAAGTCAGTACATTGCCAGACTTTTGTGTAGGAAGATAGGTAACCACCTACATGGCATAATTTGAGGTGTACAACAAGGCCCTGCTGGCTGTAAAATCGCCCTTCCATGAACCTGCAACAGCCCAGTGCTCCCATCAACCAATGAGGATTAACGGCACATGTATTCCATGTCCAACAGTGGCTGAGCACAAAAGCAAATATAAGGTATTTTCCCCACCTTCAAGACTTAACAAGTCAGCCAAAGAGAGCAAACAAAGCAGATAAGTTAATATCAAGTAAACTAGCCTAACATAATTAAAATTGTATGATAAACTTTCAACTGCTATAGATGAAGACAAGGAAGAAGGAATTAGAGCAATATGGATACTTTTGTCTTTGAACAAGAGTGGAGGAGTAAGGCCTTGAATGATAGCGTGGATTAGAAGAAAAATCAAAGGTGCAATAGCACAGTGAAAAATGTAAAGGGGAGCTTTCTTAGAAAGATGAGATACATCTGACTAAAAGAGTACATTCAAGACAGTATGGGGAATAACTTGAGGGACAGATCATGATCTGATGGTGACAGCCCTCCTGCACGTTGAAAATCCCTACTTTGGTAGCTTCTCCTTTTGCGAAGACTAAGAAACAAATTCTAGGGGCCGGCACTGTGGCACAGTGGGTTAAAACCCCAGCCAGTAGCACTGGCATCCCATATGGTGCTGGTTCAAGTTCTGACTGCGCCACTTCTGATCCAGCTCCCTGCTGATGCACCTGGGAAAACAGCAGAAGATGACCCAAGTCCTTGGGCCCCTGCACTCACTTGGAAGACCTGGAAGACACTCCTGGCTCCTGGCTTCAGATTGGCTTAGCTCTGGCCATTGTAGCCATTTGGGGTGTGAGCCAGAAGATGGAAGATCTTGTCCTCTCTCTCTGTCTCTACTTCTCTATGTAACTCTGCCTTTCAAATAAATAAAATAATCTTTAAAGAAAAACAAATTCCATATTAGGTTTCCATTACTAGGACAATATACCTGAATCTGGGTACTTTATAAATACAGGGGTGTGTTTAGCTCACAGTTCTGGAGGCTCCAGTGTCAGCCCAGCTCCGGTGAGGGCCTCATGGCAGATGGCACGAAAACAGCAGGAGAGTGTGCAAGAGGAGCTCACAGTGTCAGGAAAGGAGCCAAAGGGCCTAGGAGGTGGTCAGTCTTGTTCTTTTGTAACAACCCTCTCCCAAGAACCAACTCAGGGGTCTCACAAGAACTACCTTAATCCCATTTGAGAACACATCCCCTGGAAGGTAAGGACCTCCAAGGAGGCCCCGCTTCTTAAAGGATCCATATCACCTCCCAACATGGCCACCCTGGGGACCAAGCTCAAAACACACGAATGCTTGAGGGACAACAAAACTATAGCAAACCTCCCACCGAGGTGTACTTTATACTACCACTTTACTTCCTTCATAAAAATTCTCATCAACTTGGTGATCAAATTTTTAATCCACTTTTGTTTACTTATCTACTATGTATCCTTCATCTCTTAGCAGGCACACATATATGCTCCATAAATATTTGTTGACATTTGGAAGAGGAGGGAGGGTGGCCCTCAGCTCTTGGCATGATCTCAAACTCACTGGGCATGTTATTTTCTCTCAAATACAGAAGGAGCCCAGTCCTGAAGAATCCAAAAGAAAATACACTTTCTGAGGAGTATGGGATGAAGATATTCAGGTTCAAGGCAAGTCATGTGGAATTTAAGAATAAAAGGATGCTACGCAGGAGAATGCTGTCCATCTGTCAGAAGTAAGTAAGTACCCAGCAAGTGAGAGGAAGAAAATTCATTAGCAAGACAGAAAGCATAGGGTCGGAGTTGTAGTGTAGAGGATAAAGCCCATGGCCTGCAGTGCTGGCATCCTGTATGGGCACCAGTGTGAGTCCCAGCTGCTCCAGTTCCAATCCAGCTCCTTCCTAATGCACTTGGGAAAGTAGCAGAGGATGACCCAAGTCCTTGGACCCCTGATTCATGTAGGAGACCTGAAAGAAGCTCTTGGCTTCTGGCTTCTATCTGGTGGAGTCCCCTTGATGTTACAGTCATTTGGGGAGTGAACCAGCAAACAGAATATTTCTCTCTCTGTCTCTCCCTCTCTCTCTGTAGCCCTGCCTTTCAAGTAAGTAAATCTTTAAAAAAAAAAAAAAAAAGCATAGAATTAACAAGAAAGAAATGGGAGGAGATGTGTGCTTAGAAAGGGAGTGAACATTTAAAGAAGGGAAACCTCTAGGTCTTCTGTGAACTAAGTCTAGAACTGGGTCTAATCAGAATGGAACGGCTCCTCACTGCCACATGGTAAATGGCTGGGCAATTAGGAGGTGTGCAAGAACAGAGAGGTGAAAAACACGAGTAGCTACCAGCAAAAGGCAGTCTAGATCGAAGGAGAAGACTTCTCTGTGACCACCTGCACTTTTAAAAGCTGGACACTTGTAAAACTGATTCAGTAATTGATACACTTAGCTCCTCATTCACAGCACAACATAATCCTAGAGCAGGTGAGATACTTTCAATTAGCTATCAACCTTTAGAAAGGCTTTGCTCAAAGTATTCTGAACTAAAAGCCACCTCTTCTCATTTTAAACACAGAAGGAAACAGAATTCTACCATAATCCATTTTCAGTCCTGAAATAAAGTTTTCAGGAAATTCTTCCATGACTCAGTACTGAAAAAATCTAGCCTGGACTGAGGTGTATGCCCATCTAGGTATAATTCTAAAACTGATTTGCAGAGACCAGACCTCATAGGCTCTGTCTTCTACCCACCGGTTTACTTCCCATATGCCCACAACAGCTGGGGCCAGGCCAGGCAGAAGCCAGGAGCCCAGAACTCCACCTGGGTCTCCTATATGGGTGGCAGGAACCCATCATCTGCTACCTTCCCAGGTGCATCAGTAGGAAGCTGGATTGGGAGCAGGGATGCCAATTCAATCAGTGCTCTGATAAGTGAGGCAGGCTTCCCAGCAGCTGCTCAACTGGCTGCACCACAGTGCTCACCCCCAGCAACCCAAGTATTGGAGCCTTCACCTGCTGCCTCCCAGGCATTAGCAGGAAGGGCCTGGAACCCAGGCACTCAGAAATGTGATGCAGATGATCCAAGCATTAGCAGCCTACCTGCCTCCCCATGCCGTCCACCCCAGGAAATGACATTTTAAAATGTTGCACCTTCGCTGCTGGGTCACCAGTATCTTATGCTGGGGTCACAGAACCTTGCAGGTCATCAACACCTCTTCCCACCCACTCCAAAAATCCCTGGCCTTAGGTGCATCAGCCCCACCCATATTTGTCAATGTCAAATCCCAGACTACCTCTACCTCCTCACAACACAATCATCCCATTGCATGTATTTTTAGAATTCTCCCCCAGTGCCTTTGCAATTTGGGATTCACAATCTCACAGCCTCAGTCTGCTGCAGTTTTCTTGCATTCTCTTTTTTTATCTACTGCAATATTCATGGCACAATTTTCACATTTTCTCAGCAATCCCAAGCCCCCCACCCCAAAATGTACTTTTCTTTAGTTCCTGAGGGATTTATTTTTTAAAGATTTATTTATTTATTTGAAAGAGTTACAGAGAGAGAAGGAGAGGCAGAAAGAGAGAGAGAGAAAGGTCTTCATCTGCTGGTTCACTCCTCAATTGGCCGCAACAGCCGAAGCTGCGCCCATCTGAAGCCAGGAGCCAGGAGCTTCTTCGGGGTCTCCCGCGTGGGTGCAAGGACCCAAGGACTTGGGCCATCTTCTGCTTTCCCAGGCCATAGCAGAGAGCTGGATCAGGAGTGGAGCAGCCAGGACATGAACCAACATCAATATGGGATGCTGGCACTGCAAGCGATGGCTTTACCCAATATGCCACAGCACCAACCCCCCTGAGGGATCTTTGAAAACAATTTAACCTAAATTATTTACATCAGAAACAAGTTGACCCAATATTCACACAGCAGAAAAATGGGACAGGTATTTTACCCGCGATGTTCAGAAGTACTTATTTCTCAAAATATTTCATTCCAGACCGTCAAAGTGCTCTAAAGAAGCGATCCCGGAGCTTGCCCATGCAGACTGAACTCATCGCCGGAGCCCCAGTCAGAGCAAATCTTAACGAACGCTGCTCACTCGTGACACCCAGAGGATGCAGCTCGGAACTGCAGAAGAACCTGTTCACAGCTGCTCCATGGTTCCCAGAGCTGGAATATTTGTTCAGGACACCTGGTGCAAAGAGGTAGGCAGAGTTGGGAATCGGGCCTTTGGTGCCAAAAACCGGGAAATTAGATCATCAGCATATACAAGAGTGACTTTTCATGATGTTTACCGTGCTACTTTAGCTCCATAACAGCATGTTGTGTGATAGTCCTATTATAGTGCACATGAATGAGAGTCTATGGCTAAAGAAGAACATCATTGAAAACCTTCTTTGTGGCTGAGAGTGGTCACAGAAGAAGGTCGAGGTCACAGAAGCCTAGAAACATCTTTGATGAATTTGTTCTGATGCCATCGTAGCTTTCCTAGTGCCCATTGCTACTGCACCCATGGATTATGTACATTTTACAGTTGTGTTAAGGCCACTGACATCCCGCCTTGGATTTACCAAAAGCTCCAAGTATGTCTTCCTTGTGATGGAAGACATATTGTCCCCTTTAGTCTGTTGGCTTTCTAGTACTCTTTCCAAATCACAGACAGTGATTTTTCCCTGCGTTAGGAACCTAATCCTTTACAATCTGGGTGGGCAGTGACATGCAGTTATAGCAAATGTACCAGTTTGTTAAAACACACATACAACAATAAAAATCACAACTGTTTTTAACACAAATCCCATGGCCCAGAGAGAAATTTAAATATTTCAAGCATTATTTATTCCAAGAATGCACACTGTATCTAGCCATCTTTTATAGTAGAATTTAACCAGGGTCCAACCATTAAGGTATCATATTATTTTACAAGAAATTTTTTTCCTTTGTTATAAAGGAATTAGGCCAAATATTGATAAAAGGTGTTAGTTGAGGAACATATGCTTTTTGGCCCAAGTGTTGGTTTAAAAATACTTGAGCTTTCTTCATAGGAATTATTTGAAAAGCATAGCCTGGATTTGTTTCTTCTCTTTGTTGGGGTGGGAATCAGGGTAGATGGAATTGCTCACCAGTGTCTGGATGTACCCACCAACAGCAAACTCGAATCTGAGGTTGCATTTTTATGTCCATTTGCTGCCTTCCCTGGCTCGTTAGCAGGAAGCTGGATCAGAAGCAGAGCAGCCAGGACCATAACCAGTGCTCCAATACGGCATGCTGGCATCGCAAGCAGCAGATTAACCTGCTGCACCACAGCGTTGGGCCCAAGAGTTTCTTGCTTATCATTTCTATTTCTCAAGTGGGAAAATTAAGATACAGGAAGGTTAAATCACCTGTCCAAGTTCACATAGCTGATAAGTAGCAGAGCTGGAATTTAGACCCGGATGGCCTGGCTCTACTGTCCGTGAAGGAAGCATTGCACTATGCCATCTCTCTTTTAGCCTGTGCTGGTGGCATAGTTGCAACTTCGGCTGTGGCTGTACCTAGAGATACCATCACAGAACCCCCAAGGTGACCAGGAGGAAGCTATCAGAGGAACTAAGGCAGGGCTTTGCTAGCTCATGCAAATATTTCATGCTAATAAAAGAGTGTCTCCACCGGGGAAACAGTCCCCAGGGTTGGTGAGATGGTAGTATTTTTGTGTCAGTTAAGACACTTCTCCAGGCAGAAGAAGCCCATGATAGAGCATGAGCTTAGGCAAGTGAACGGAGGGCTGGAACTCACCTCACTGGATCCTTCAGCGGGCCGTCCGTGACGTGCACAGTCCTATATAGTGGTTCCAAATTAACAATAGGTGAAAGAGACCCCCGATTATCATGTAGATAAACCCTCTCTACTGTAACTGTACTGTACTTACAGTTGTGTCTGAGAGCTGCACAACTGAAAATGAGTGAATGTGTATGTAATCGATATCTTGCTCCATCAGCCTATAAAATCACAAACAGGTCAACGTTCATTATGGTGCCCAAAAGGCCATGACTCAAAATACGCTCTTCAGTATCTATCAGCTCAACTGAAACTTAAGCAAGCCCAAAGCGAGTTTCTGCACAACCGCAAAGGGGAGCCTCACGTGTGCCGCCAAGCCCAGGGTCGGTTCCACGCACCAATGGCATTCCGGCAGCTCTGCTCCTGCTCCAACCAGCCCATGACATTGGCTTCTCTGAAACCATAGAGGATGACTGGCCAAGGCTCTTTGGAAGCTGCTGATGCCAGCCATCCTCAGAGTGTCAGAGACAGAGCAGTCTGTGCTGCCTCTTCTCATGCTTCTCTGCCTGCACTCAGAATCTGCAAAACTCTCTGATGAGAGGTTCTTAGCTCCATGCTCAGAATCTCACTGCACTCCTGCCCACCTCTGAGCACCGCCTCTTCAGGACTCTAATTCAATGCGAGGGGTTGAACAGGAAACACATCTCATGGCCACCCTCCTCACTCATTCACCCCTCCACACACCTCTCGTCTTGGTTAGCATTTGATCAAGGCCAGTTTCTGTGCCTGGCACTGCTCTAGGCACTGAGGACAAAGCATTGAGACAGCTAAGGTCACTGCTCCCACCGAGCTTGCATTCTAGCGTGGAGAAGCAGATCAACCAAACAAGAAGCTATCTATTATCCAGTGATAATATTTATTATGAAAACAAAAGACAGTTGATGTGACAAGGAGACACTGAGGAGTTAACATTGGATCAGCTCAGTAATTTTCAACCCTTTCAAACTGAACAGCCACTGGTCACAGCAAATATCAAGACACAGTAATTAAGACAATGCTTGAGGGGCTGGCACTGTGTGTAGTGAGTAAAGCCGCCAACTGCAGTATTGGCATCCCATATGAGCACCAGTTTGAGTCCTGGCTGCTCCACTTCCAATGCAGCTCTCTGCTATGGCCTGGGAAAGCAGTGGAGGATGGCCCAAGTCCTTGGGCTCCTGCACCCAAGTGGGAGACCTGGAAGAAGCTCTTGGCTCCTGGTTATGGGTCAGCCCAGCTCTGAGCATTGCACCCATCTAAGGAGTGAACCAGTAAATGGAAGACCTCTCTCTCTCTCTCTCAGCCTCAGCCTCTCTGTAACTCTGCCTTTCAAATACAAAAAAGACACTGCTTGATGCATTGTCACCCCATATTTAAGCCTGTGGGTTTAAATCCCAGCTTCACTTCCAATTTCAGCTTCTTACTAATGCATACCCTGGGAAATAGCAGGTGATGGCCCAGGTACTTGGATACCTGCCACCCATATGAGACACCCAGATTGAGTTCTGGGCTTCTGGTTTCACCCAGCTGCTGTGGGCATTTGGGAAGTGAACCAGCAGATGGGAGATCTCTTTGTGTCTGTCTCCGTACCTTTTAAATAAAATGAAAATAAATAATAGAATTTTTTAGATTTTACTTTTTATTTATTTAAAAGACTGAGTTACAGAGAGGTAGAGGCAGAGAAAGAGAAAGAGAGGGAGATCTTCTGTCTGCTGGTTCATTCCCCAAATGGCCACAACAGCTAGAGCTGGGCCAATCCGATGCTAGGAGCCAGGAGCTTCTTCCGGGTCTTCCATGCAGGTGCAGGGGCCCAAGGACTTGGACCATCTTCTGTTGCTTTCTCAGGTGCATTAGCAGGGAGCTGGGTCAGGAATGGAGCAGCTGGGACTCAAACCAGTGCCCATATGGGATGCTGGCACTACAGGTAGTGCTGTACCTGCTACCCTACAGTACAGGCCCTCATAATATATTTTTAAAAAGAAATATGTAATCATTGTGGGATGGCTAAATCTAACTTATTATCATATACATTACCTCAAATACTTATCTTTTTGTGATAAGAACACTTAAAATCTATTAGCAAATTCTGAAGAATACAGTACCTTGTTATTAGCTAGAATCACCATGTTATACAACAGATCTCTTAAACTTATTCCTCCTATCCAGCTGAAATTTTATGTCCTTTGACCAACATTCCTCAACCTATCCCCACTCAGACCCTAGTAACCACAGTATTTTTAAATATTGTTAGATGAGTTTCATTTTTGAATCCTACAAGCAGAACTTAAATATGTATATTACATGTATATGTATACAGATATACACATTAATATTCCTATCTATAATAAAATAGAGGAATAATAGGACATACATATATAATAAAAGATGCATTTTGGCATGTAAATGATTGGACATTACTATGCTTAAAGATATAATGAGGCTATTTGATGTTTGCTTTCAAATACTCACCATGAACATAATAGCTTCAAGTGTCCACTGATTATAGGAGTGTCACAAGTGACTCAAATACCACAAGCGGCAGTGCCCTTGGTGACGTGGTTTGCCTAAACAGGAATGAATCTGAATAATGTTCCAAACAAAGCAAAGCTTTATCTTTATCAGTGTATGTGGTAATTGTAACTCCAAGAATTTCAGTAGATATTAAAATTAGGCCAAAAAGAAAAAAGAAAAGAAAACACTTAGCCCCTGGATTTCTATAGCTCCACAGAGTAGATTCTTAGAACAGATCTTTTGCTACATAAGCTGCCCAGAGGGACATTGAGTGGTGTGCAGTGCGTAGGACCACCCTTCACTAGGATTCACGGAGAGTCTCCTACTGCATACTGCTTCATGTCTAACATCCCTGGCCTCCACTCCTACTCTGTCACTAAGCTGGCGATACCCTCCTTCTATGACACTCTCTACCTCCTAGAGAGTGCTGCCATCCTCATGAAGAGCCATTCTGCTAAGTGAGTAGGGAAGGGCTCTCCAAGGAGCTGCGCGTGAAGCTGAGAACTGAATGGCCACGTGGAATGACTCTGGGCAAAAGAACATTCCAGGCAAAAGGAACACGCGATCCAACAAGCTTGGAGAGATCAAGGGACAGAAAAACTGGTTAGTCTAGAGTTATGTAATTAGGAGTGTGCTGAAAGATGGCTTGGGGGCTGGCATTGTGGCATAGCAGGGTTTGTTTTCCCCCCAGAAACCTTTTATTTAAGGAATACAAACTTGATGCATTTCATAAAAACAACTTTAGAAACACAGCAATACTTCCCACAGTACCTGCTCTCCCACTCACACTCCCACCCACCCTATTTCCTCCTCTCATTCCTATTCCCATTCTTATTTTTTTTACTAAGATCTACTTTCAATGAACTTTATAACACATATGATTAACTCTATAATAAGTAATGAGTTCAACAAATAGTATGAAAAAAATTGTTCCTCAACAGTGGAGACAAGAGCTGTTCAAAGCCATTGCTTCTCAAAGTGTCAATTTCACTTCTATAGATTACCTTTTAGGTGCTCTATTAGTTACCACAAATCAGAGAGAGAACATATGGTATTTGTCCTTCTGGGACTGGCTTATTTTACAAAGTGTGATGTTTTCCAGTTTCATCCATTTTGTTACAAACAACAAGATTTCTTTTTTTTTTTTTAAGAATTCCATGATGTACATATCCCATAATTTCTTTATCCAGTCTCCAGTTGAAGGGCATTTGGGTTGATTCCATATCTTAGCTATTGTGAATTGAGCTGAAATGAACAAATTTCATTTCCCTTGGGTAAAATCCCAGGAGTTGCATGGCTGGATTATACGGTAGGTCTGTATTCAGATTTCTGAGTTACCTCCATACTGCCTTCCACAGTGGCTTTACCAGTTTACATTCCCACCAACAGTGGATTAGGGTACCTTTTAACCCACATTCTCGCCGGCATTTGTTGTTTGTTGATTTCTGTATGAAAGCCATTCTAATTGGGGTGATTTGAAATCTCATGTGGTTTTAATTTGCAGTTCCCTGATAGCTAGTGATCCTGAGCATTTTTTCATGTGTCTGTTTGCCATTTGGATTTCCTCTTTTGAAAAATGCCTGTTTAAGTCCTTTGCCCATTTCTTAATTGGGTTGTTTGTTTTATTGTTGTTTATTTTCTTGAGCTTTTTATAGATTTTTTTATAAAAAAGATTGATTTTTACTTGCAGGTCAGAGTTACACACAGAGAGAAGGAAAGGCCGAGAGAGAGGTCTTCCATCTGCTGGTTCACTCCCCAGATGGCCACAAAGGCTAGAGTAGCACTGATCCCAAGCCAGGAGCCAGGAGTTTTTCCGGGTCTCCCATGTGGGTGCAGGGGCCCAAGCACTTGGGCCATCTTCCACTGCTTTTCCAGGCCATAGCAGAGAGCTGGACAGGAAATGGAGCAGCCAGGACTCAAACTGGCACCCACATGGGATGTCTGCACTGCAGGTGGCAGCTTTATCCACTATGCCACAGCACTGGCCCCCTCTTTACATATTCTTAATATTAATCTTTTATCAGTTGTACAGTTTACAAATAATTTCTCCTATTCTGTTGGTTGCCTCTTAACTTTGCTAAATGTTTCTTTTGCAGTGCAGAAGCTTCTCAATTTGATGTAATCCCATTTGTCTATTTTGGCTTTGATGTCCTGTGCCTCTGGAGTCTGTTACAAGAGGTGTTTACCTATACCAATGTCTTGCAGAGTTTCCCTGATGTTCATTAATAATTTGATGGTGTCAGGTCGTAGATTTAGGTCTTCAATTCATTTTGAGTGGATTTTTGTATCAGGTATAAGGTAGGGGCTTACTTCATACTTCTGCATGTGGAGATCCAGTTTTCCCAGCACCATTTGTTGAAGAGACTGTCCTTGCTCCAGGGATTGAGTTTAGCTCCTTTGTCAAAGATAAGTTGTTTGTAGATGTGTGGGTTGATTTCTGGAATTTCTGTTCTGTTCCATTGATCTATCCATCTGTTTCTGTACCAGTACCATGCTGTTTTGATTATAATTGTTCTATAGTATGTCTTGAAATCTGGTATTGTGATGCCTCCAGCTTTGTTTTTGTTGTATAAGACTGCTTTAGCTATTCAGGGTCTCCTGTGTTTCCATATGAATTTCAGCATCATTTTTTATATATCTGAGAAGAATATCTTTGTTATTTTAATTGGTATCACATTGAATCTGTAAATTGTTTTCAGTAGTATGGACATTTTGATGATATTGATTCTTCCAATCCACGAACATGGAAGATTTTTCCATTTTTTGTATTTTCTTCTATTTCTTTCTTTAATGTCTTGTAATTCTCATCACAGAAATCTTTGATGTCCTTGGTTAAGTTTATTCCAAGGTATTTGATTTTTTTGTAGCTATTATGAATGGAAATGATCTTAGAGGTTCTTTCTCAGCCATGGCATTGTCTGTGTATACAAAGGCTATTGGTTTTTGTGTGTTGATTTTATATCGTGCTACTTTACCAAACTCTTCTATGAGTTCCAATAGTTTCTTAGTGGAGCCTCTTGGATCCCCTATGTAGAATCATGTCATCTACAAATAGAAACAGTTTGATTTCCTCCTTCCCAATTTGTATCCCTTTGATTTCCTTTTCCTGCCTAATGGCTCTGGGTAATACTTCCAGGACTATACTGAATAGCAGTGGTGAAAGTGGGCATCCTTGTTTGGTTCTAGATCTCAGTGGGAATGCTTCCAACTTTTCCCCATTCAATAGGATGCTGGCCATGGGTTTGTCATAAATTGCCTTGATTGTGTTTAAGAATGTTCCTTCTATACCCAATTTGCTTAACATTTTCATCATGAAAGGGTGTTGTATTTTATCAAATGCTTGTGGTTTTTGTTCTTTAATTTTTTAATGTGATATATAACAGTGATTAATTTGTGAATCTTGAACCATCCCTGTATACTTGGGATAAATCTCACCTATCTGGGTGAATGATCTTTCTGATGTGCTGTTGGATTTTATTGGCTAGTATTTTGTTGAAGACTTTTGGGTCTATGTTCATCAAGGAAATTGATCTGTAGGTTCTCTTTGTTGCATCTTATTCAGATTTAGGAATTAAGTTGATGCTGGATTCATAGAAAGATTTTGGTAAGATTCCCTGCCTTTCAATTGTTTTGAATAGCTAGAGAAGAATTGGCAGTGAAGCCATCCAGTCCTAGGCTTTTCTTTGCTGGGAGGGTCTTTATTATTAACTCAATTTTCATCTTGGTTATTGGTCTGTTTAGGTTTTCTATGTCTTCATGGCTCAATTTAGGTAGGTTGTATATGTTCAGGAATCTAACCATTGCTTCTAGGTCTCCCAATTTGTTGGCATACAGCTCTTTTAGTAATTTCAGCTCTTTGTAGTAATTTTTGATGATTCTTTTATTTCTGTGGTTTCTGTCTCTTGTTTTTTTGTTTGTTTTGGTTTTGGTTTTGATTAGTTGCGCCAATGATGTGTCTGTTTTGTATATATTTTAAAAAAAAGCTCCTCATTTTGCTGATCTTTTGTATTTTTTGCTTCAATTTTGTTTATTTCTTCTCTAATTTTAATTATTTCTTTTCTCCTACTAGTTTTGGGTTTGGTTTGCTGTTGTTTTTCTAGGTCCTTGAGATGCACTGGTAGCTCATTTATTTGGTGCCTTTCCAATTTCTTGATGTAGGCACCAATTGCTATAAACTTTCCTCTTAACACTGCTTTTGCTGTATCCCATAAGTTTTGATATGCTGTATTGTCATCTTCATTCATTTCCAGAAATTTTTTGATTTCTCTTTTGATTTCCTCAATGACCCACTGTTCATTCAGAAGCATGTTGTTCAGTCTCCATGTGTTTACATATGTTCTGGAGATTCTTGAGTTGTTGATTTCCAGCTTCAGTCCATTGTGGTCAGACAAAATACATGGTATGATTTCAATTTTTTTGTATTTGCTGAGACTTGCTTTATGTCCTAGCATGTGGTCTATCCTAGAAAATGTTCCATGCACTGGTGAGAAGAATGTGCATTCTATAACTGTAGGATGAAAAGTTCTGTAGCTATCCATGAGGTTCCTTTGGTCTATAGTGTTAATTAACTCTGTTGTTTCCTTGCTGATTTTCTGTCTGGTTGATCTCTCCATTGCTGAAAGTAGAGTATTGAAGTCTCCCATTACTATTGTATTGGAGGCTATGTCTCCCTTTAGATCTCTTAAGATTTCTTTTAAATAACCAGGTGCCCTGTAACTAGGTGTATATATATTTACAATAGTCACATCTTCCTGTTGAATTGATCCCTTAATCATTACATAGTGCCCTTATTTGTCTTTTAATGGTTTTGTGTTTAAGTCTATTTTGTCTGATATTATGATGGCTACACCAGCTCTTTATTGGTGCCTATTAACATGGAATATCTTTTTCAGTCTGTGTGTATCTTTGTCCATGAGATGTGTTTCTTGTAGGCAGGAAATAGATGGGTTTTAATTTTTAATCCATTCAGCCAGTCTGTATCATTTAATTTGACTATTAGTAAGTAAAGACTTGGCCCTGCTATTTTTCCATAAATATTCCTATTGTTTACTTTGGATTTCCTTTGTACTTTGACTGGGGGATTTTCTTCCTTCACCCTCTTTCATAGTGATGACCATGTTTCTGTGTGTAGTGCACCCTTAAGCATCTTTTGTAAGGCTGGACAAGTGGTGACAAATTGTTTCAATTTCTGTTTGTTATGGAAGGAATCTATTTCACCTTCATTCAAAATGAGAGCTTTGCAGGGTGCAGTATTCTGGGATGAAAGTTTTTTTCTCTTAAAACTTGGAATATATTGGCTGGTGCCATGGCTCAATAGGCTAATCCTCCACCTGCAGCACCAGCACTCCGGGTTCTAGTCCCAGTCGGGGTGCCGGATTCTGTCCCAGTTGCCCCTCTTCCAGGCCAGCTCTCTGCTGCGGCCCGGGAGCACAGTGGAGGATGGCCCAAGTGCTTGGGCCCTGTACCCACATGGGAGACCAGAAGAAGCACCTGGCTCCTGGCTTCGGATCAGTGTGGTGCACCGGCCGCAGCAGCCATTGGAGGGTGAACCAATGGTAAAGGAAGACCTTTCTCTCTGTCTCTCTCTCACTGTCCACTCTGCCTGTCAAAAATAATAATAATAATAAAAAACTTGGAATATATCTCGCCATTTTCTCCTAGCCTGTAGGGTTTCTGATGAGAAGT